ACACACAAGGTGGGAATATAGATGAGGCTGGTGAACAGGATAACTGTGATGGAGACCAGGTAAGTAACACAGTGGATCGCAGGAGTACAGGTAGGTATTCCAAAGGGTTTAGCGAAGATGAGTCTGTATTGCGTATTGAAGACCAGACAATGACTGAGAGTGTTTATATTGGTGTGGTAATGAAGGACAGGTGCAGGTGATCAGTAACTAAAGCAGAACTGAAGGTGATCCATGAGCAAGGGAACTATGACAGGGAGAGACAAGATGGGAAATGTGACAAGTGTTTTTGTAACTATGAGGTGTCTAGTGTCATCATCATTTTGGTTTGTGTGCTGGAGCTCACAGATGAACAAAAGCCATTTGCATACAGTGAGTCATCTCTTTGACATTTATATAGCGCTTTCCCCCCCACTCAAATTAGTTTATAAAGACGAAGAGAATGAGCTACTTTTATGATGTGACAGCAGTTACAGTTCACCAGAATGCCCACTTTAACAAGTTCATGGGTGGACATTATAAGGATAAGAAACAGCTGGGATTTTAATATCCACAGACAGTTTAACCTCAGTTTATCGTTTCATGGAAGGAGAGCATTTAGTAAAACTAATAATTGTGGAAATCACTCAGTGGGAATATATCTCAAGTGTTAAGCACAGTCCTTTTCCCAATTAAAACTATTTATACATAAAATTCCATGACAAACATAATCTGTAACATTATCTTCATAAACACTTTGATTCCATTATGACCCAATTTTAGACAAAATGATGTGGAGATAACGGTTCATTATGTACAAAAAAACCCTCATAAAAGCGTTCTGAAAAGCATAATTACAGCTTTCTCTGAATAAATATTTATTAGAGGTGGTTAGGGGGTTGAAGCATTTATTTAGCTGGAGGCACTGGCTTAGCTTCCAAACAAGAGAAAAAAAGAGATTTGACTTTAATTAGCAGCCACTGCCCCTCTATAAATGGCTTATCATCAAGGCTTATTTGGAAAAATGCCTCAGCCTTCAAAAACAAACCAAAAAAAGGCATGCATGCTAATGCAATGGCCAGCAGTGAGAACTGAATGACGTCGATTTTTCCACATTCAGTTCTTTATTATAATTATCAGTGGGTCAGAAAACATTTGAGCCAAACAAAAGGCCCATCTGAAATATCAGGACATAAATGTTCCAACTAAACCAGCTCATTCATAAATGCGTCATCCCAGTAAAATCATGCACAATAAACGCTGTAGCTGTAATTACTGGGAAGAGGACAGATGTGATGTGTGTTTTCTCCTCTCTTGTTGATTCTACACTCCCATATTGCTTTTCTGACAACTGTATTTCCCTTCTTCATCTTTGCAATGTCAGATTATTTTCTGATTTTGATTTTACATCCTTCATGGCAGTTTGTCTTCACAGGTTGAGTGTGACGTGCTTGTAGGTGATCAGAAAAACAGCATTCAGCATTTTACCTTTCCTCATACTGATTTTATTGGCGTTTGGAGATCCTCTTTGCCAACATCTAAGCCTCCAGATCTCTGTTAGTTGTCTGTAACACAGAACATCAGCTCTGGCCGTGTTCAGCGTCCCGTAGCCTGAGGAACACACACACGCACGCACACACACACACATCTCCACTGCTCGCAGGCTAGATGAACAGAGAGCAGAGCTGGCAGTAGATTATTCATTTCCCCAGATGAATGTCAGAGGAAGAGATTTAATGAGCATTCTTATGTGTATTCTCATTTGTGTGCCCAGCTTTATGATTTGACGGACATTTTTTTTGTCAGTTTTCTATTTGTTTTAGTGCGTTTCATACAGTAGACGCATCTGGGTGAAGATGGTGATTTTCAGGACTGCTCTTAACATGCTCAAATAATTTAAGTAAATTCATTGCCTCAAGGTAATTACTGTAATCTATTGTGCTCCTCACAAACTCTTTACTCATTAAACTTTTTTAAATAAATGTAACAGATTAGTATATTTGCAGTTAATACTAATAGAATTGACTATAAACAATGAAAGATCAGTCTTGAGGCGTTACGGAGTTCCCTTTCAAAGTGGAAATCAACACTGCATTTTGGATCGACTCCACAGGGAACGCCATCAGCGTGACCGGTGTCTGAAGCACGCGTGTAAACACACATCAATAAATCATAGGCAGAAAATCAAGTACACGTCATCAACCTCTGTCTTCAGGAGACGCTTGTATGCACTGGTGGAGCACGTCGACTGAGGAAGCTGGATGTGATCATGATGACTGAAAGAGAAGATTCTCCCCCGAGGGATAGTAATCAGCAGTCCATTTCATCCCACAATTCTTTGTAAAGTTTCCAGACATTAAATAATATATTGCTGTCAATTTAGAATGAAATGAGACACTTTTTAGAATCTCTCTTGTAAAGATTATACATAGTATACAATTTCTGTAAAACACTCTTATTTGGGTGTTGTGGTATGAATAATAAAAGAAACTCTTGTGTGCTTAAATGCATTAGTAATCATACAGACAGCACATGTTTGCAGGCTAGAATGACATTTACATTTGCTCTCAATTATTTAGCAGACGCTTTTATCCTGAGAGTCTTTGACAGTATATTGTGTAAAGTTTATTCTCACCCCAGTGTCGCTTGTTTCCTGAGCCTCCTGTGTTTCTCCTGAAGGCCACGTAAAACTCCTCTATGGGATCAGGCTTTCTTTGGTCATTACAGTAGAGGACCAAACGCCGAGCCACAGGCTCACTTCACCCACACAAATAAACTAGTGTGTTTTACATAAGGTTTCTTTCTGAAGGCAACTCACACCCTGGGGCCTGGGGCCGGGTTCACAAAGATAGACTTTGACTATGGCTTAGATATAGTAGATAGTCAGACTTCAGATAGACATCTAAATCAGACCGTTGCACAAAGCACTCTGACTATCTTAAGTAGGACTACACTGCAATGCATTCTGGGTAAAATAAGACACTTTTCAAAACAAAAAACATGGCGGATGGAGTAAGCGCATTCAACCGCTGAGTGCAGTTTACCCCAGCGGAAGATATGTGTGTGTTGGAGGAGTGTAACAGTTACAAGGACATTTTATTGGGGAAATTTAGCGGAGAATGTAGAAACAAGAAGAAATGTTTAATTTGGAAAAAGATTGCTACGACAGTTAACAGCGTTAATCCGACCGTTGAGCGGAGCATTAAAGACGTACAGAAAAGATACAAAAACACGGTACAAGGTGCCAAAAAAGAAATATTTAAGAGGAAATATCCAAAAACGGGAGGAGGACCCCAAGAGAAACTTAAAGACACTGAAATGGTGATGAATATATACACTCACCTAAAGAATTATTAGGAACACCTGTTCAATTTCTCATTAATGCAATTATCTAATCAACCAATCACATGGCAGTTGCTTCAATGCATTTAGGGGTGTGGTCCTGGTCAAGACAATCTCCTGAAGTCCAAACTGAGTGTCAGAATGGGAAAGAAAGGTGATTTAAGCAATTTTGAGCGTGGCATGGTTGTTGGTGCCAGACGGGCCGGTCTGAGTATTTCACAATCTGCTCAGTTACTGGGATTTTCACGCACAACCATTTCTAGGGTTTACAAAGAATGGTGTGAAAAGGGAAAAACATCCAGTATGCGGCAGTCCTGTGGGCGAAAATGCCTTGTTGATGCTAGAGGTCAGAGGAGAATGGGCCGACTGATTCAAGCTGATAGAAGAGCAACTTTGACTGAAATAACCACTCGTTACAACCGAGGTATGCAGCAAAGCATTTGTGAAGCCACAACACGCACAACCTTGAGGCGGATGGGCTACAACAGCAGAAGACTCCACCGGGTACCACTCGTCTCCACTACAAATAGGAAAAAGAGGCTACAATTTGCAAGAGCTCACCAAAATTGGACCGTTGAAGACTGGAAAAATGTTGCCTGGTCTGATGAGTCTCGATTTCTGTTGAGACATTCAGATGGTAGAGTCAGAGTTTGGCGTAAACAGAATGAGAACATGGATCCATCATGCCTTGTTACCACTGTGCAGGCTGGTGGTGGTGGTGTAATGGTGTGGGGGATGTTTGCTTGGCACACTTTAGGCCCCTTAGTGCCAATTGGGCATCGTTTAAATGCCACGGCCTACCTGAGCATTGTTTCTGACCATGTCCATCCCTTTATGGCCACCATGTACCCATCCTCTGATGGCTACTTCCAGCAGGATAATGCACCATGTCACAAAGCTCGAATCATTTCAAATTGGTTTCTTGAACATGACAATGAGTTCACTGTACTAAAATGGCCCCCACAGTCACCAGATCTCAACCCAATAGAGCATCTTTGGGATGTGGTGGAACGGGAGCTTCGTGCCCTGGATGTGCATCCCACAAATCTCCATCAACTGCAAGATGCTATCCTATCAATATGGGCCAACATTTCTAAAGAATGCTTTCAGCACCTTGTTGAACCAATGCCACGTAGAATTAAGGCAGTTCTGAAGGCGAAAGGGGGTCAAACACAGTTTTAGTATGGTGTTCCTAATAATCATTTAGGTGAGTGTATATCGTAAGGGCCATTTTCCCTTTTTTTTTTGGCTGTTTGTAATGTACATGATTGTTACTGCTGGTTGCCAAGGTAACAGAGTCTTAGACCTAAGTTAGCCTGGGGGAAAAGCGGTCTTATTGTTTTGGTCTAAATTAAGCAGTCTTTATTTTTGTGAAAGTCTAACTTGCATTAGACTAGTCTATGAGCAAAATTTTAGACTTGTCTAACACTATAGAGCGGTCTAAAATAGCTTTGTGAAACCGGCCCCAGGTCTAACAAGACAGGAACAGCTTTATGAATGTAAAATGAATATGAAACACTGAAAGTACACAAAAGCATCTTAAAAAAACTAACTTTATTTGTCATAAAGTCTTGTATAGCAAGTGTATTACACGTTTTTAAACGACGTGAGAATTGAACAGACCAGCCGTCCTGATTCTCAGCTGCTACAGATATCTGGCCTACAGAAGCTGTGTGAGCTGGGTTTATGGCTCCCCGGGCCTCATGGGTACGCCGGGAGCTCCCCGACCTCAGGATTCAGACCCCGCCCTTGATTGAACCTTGACACATATGAGGCGATCACTTCCATCTTGTCTGGCTTTTCGAACTGGGCAGAGAGGTCGTCAGGGATGGGGATCTTCTGCACCTCGGCCTCATATGGACCGGGGTCCTCAAACACCTTCTCAAAGATGAGGTCCATCAGTCCATCCACATAATCTGAAATAAAAAACAAACGTGACTACATACTTCTTGCAATTGGTTAATGCCCTAGTAGGCCTTTTGCACATTTAAATAGTGCATTTTATATTATATTGTTCACGGGTTGTACAAGTGTTCTTGGCTTGGTGTGGTTTTTACAATGAAAGCTTGCAAAACTTACCGTACGTTGGATCTACTTTCACTGGCTTGATGGAAAATTCTCCCTTCTTGGACTTGGGTAAGTTCAATCTGTATAGCAGCTCACCGGTGGATGACGTTGCTTGGGGACGCCCAGCATTTTCGTTGAAGTGCATGGCAGCCAGGTAGAGTCTTAGGAAGAAAAATGATACAAGTGTAACTCTTGAATACAATGTATGAATTGAATTGATTTCAGTACGGCAACAATGATGGTGTATGTACCTGCACAACATCCCAAGAAAAGGAAATACCGCGTTCTTAGGCGCAAAGCGTGAAATACTGCTGTGAAAAGCCTCCAGCGCCGAGGCCTGGCGGTGAGGGCTCATCTTCTCCACAGCTTTTAACATCCTCTTATTGGTCAAGGCCTTCTCTACTTTGATGAAGGCCTCTGTTCCTATGAAAACATGAGTAACACCACATGTTAAATGTGTTGAACACAGAATCACTGTACATATGAGTAAGTGGTAATGGTTATAAACTTTCCCACTGGACATCTACATGCACAACCAGACAGAAGTTTGGAAAATTGTGATAGTGTATATAGTCTGTGTGAAGAGGGTCCACTCAACCGTTACATTTCAACTAGTAATCGGGCAAACGCACCTGCTTTCAGCCATTTGCGTTTGTCCCTTGATGTCCGTGGTGCATGCGCGCACTGGGGGAAAGCAGGGTCTTCGTGGACGTGGACATCTCGGATGTGATTGAGGATGGACGTCCACTTTGCCAGCCTCTCTGGCCCTGATGTTGATGAAGCTGCTGTCCAGTACATGTGGTTTTTTATACTAGGAAGCCACTTCTTCAGTAAGTCACAGTCCTTGTTCTTCGCTATCAGGGCCAACTTTTTGGACAGCCCTAACAATGCAAAAAGTGTATTTCAGCTATGCAAATATACAGTGAATATACATATATGAAATACAATACTAATTACCAAAGTCTCTCTAATATAAAAAAAAACAAAAACATTTACCACTCATTACATGTTTCTGTTTTTATAATAATGGACAACACACATGTCTGTGATCATTCACGATACAATGTCATCAACCAAACAAAGTTTTCACAAGGGAACAGGGACCATGGGCGTCAGTGTGTGTGAAATGTGCTGGGGACAGAGACGCATTCGGAAGTGCATTTTCAGAAGTGATGGGTACAATGATGCATTTTTTTTCTCTCTCTTTCGCGCAGGTCATGTTTTGAAAGACGATGTCCTGTAGCTCACTAATGTAAATAAATAAAAATGTATACAAAAATGTGATGATCTCCGACTCGTTTTATGAAAAAGAAAGCCTTAAAGGGATACTTCACCTTATGTAGAAGAAATGTGAAATTATTTTTGAATTTAGAGCTTTCTAGACTGAGAAAAGCCAGAAAATGTATTTTTGGCTTATGTTGATGAAAGACAACAACTCCCAGAATGCACTTGCTTCGCTGCCCTAGGAGGCCACGCCTACCGGTAACAGAGCGCAGTAGTTAACCCCTTAGCTGTCACCCCCCTTTTTGAGCACTAATGCACTATTTAAACTTAAATGGTTGTAATTCAAGAATGCTTTGGAATATAGACCCAAGTTTGGTCTTGTTTTAAAGGAAACACTCAGCAGATTATTGCTGAAGTGAAAACACTTCAAAAAATGAAAGTATGAAAAAGTTATGGAAGTTTAAATTTACAGTAAATCAAATATACCGTACTATAAAAAATTTATTTTATATAAAATATATATTTTACTAAATATTTTTTACTCTAAAATTACTATTAAATCAAAGACATATATCTAACCAAGTTATGTTCCAAATTTGAAGTTGATATCACAAAAATTGAAGTTCCCATGAGATTTTGTTTAGGCGTAGTACCAAAAATAGCCACCGGGTGACATACATTCCATTGAATTTAGTTGTATACATTCTGCCTTAAATTAATACATTTCTGTCCAAATATCAATTCTGTCACAAAATTTGGAACCTTGACACTCAGACCTTTCTGACAATATGTGTTTTGTCAAGATTAGAAAAGGTTTTGATCATAAATTATGAAATATAATGATGCCCAAAAGGGGAGGAGCCTGATCCAATATTTTAGAGTACCGTTTCTATGGTAACGCAGCGTTCAATTTCAAAACGGTTTTCACAGGATGAATTCTGAGTTTGTAAGCTTTCAAATGATACCTAATTTATGATAACTACTAAAATATGTGATATAATAAAAAAGGCGACAAAAAAAGATTATATATTTTTGAGGATAATATACATATTATACTTTTTAGAGGATATTATTATATTATTTTTTATTCAAAAACACTAGATTATATGTTTTATTATGAACTTTTAGCATGAAAACCAAAGTTTCAATTTACCGTTGAGCACCGGTCTCGTATCTCTCACGGAGGAGCGGGAATTTTCTTAGCAATGTTAAAACGCACATCAACCGATCACTTGTTTAGCGTTCATGTAAACACTACATTCAGATTCACCAATCGGAATGAATTCAGTTAGACTGAAACAAAAGGTGTGCATGTAAACAATGAATGGCGACTGCAGAAAGCAAAAGCTGAATCCCGGACATCGACGGCCGGACATGTCCGGGAAAAAGAGGATGGTAACCCCTACTACTCAGCTTTCTCCACAGAACAAGAGCCTGCTAGCTTAGCTTCCAAAAAAAGACGTCTGACACTATGTGTACATTCTGTGAGTGAGATCCCACCCTCTATGGGCGGGTTGAGAACATGCGGGACAGCCCCTACTACTGGCTGTAGTCTTTAGCCTCTGGCCAAAAAATCCAGACATTTTTTCCAGACAAAAAATACATAAATCTCTCGTCTCAGGGGGATATGAGGGTGGAAAGCATGGTAATTTGAAAATACTACAGGGTTTCTACTAATGCAAAGCTTAATGCTAAATCCTGAAGTATCCCTTTAAGTTTTCAAAAAGCATTAGACATATGACCCACTATTCTGCTTCATAAGTACCATGTTGACAATGACATGACGTGGTTTAATCTACCTAAACAATGATTACCAAATTTCTCTCTCATATTGCTCCTCATAACCACTGGAAACGGTCAAAAAATCATTTTATTCAATTATTATGGACGTTATGTGACATTAAGCGTTTCTGCTTCACATTTTCAGCAGGGCAGCGGAGCGGCTGTCGACTCCCCACGGTTCTCATGGGCTTTATATATAAGTCCTAACGTGAACAAGCTTTACATGGTTTACCTAAACAACGATCACCAAGTTGTTGCAGTGTTATGAACAGAGAAGCGTGTAGCAGCGCTGCAGCAAAACGGCTAAATTGAGCTCGAGGTTTTCAAACAAAATGACTCATTACGAAATCTGGTGGGGACGCGTACCCACCGAGATCGACGCCTATGCCCTCTTGTACTGGTTATGTTCTTATTAAAAAACAAAAACAGGACAGCATACCCTTTTCTATACGCCAAACATCGTAGTAGTGCTTGATCCTGGTCTCCTTCAGGAATTCCTGAATTTGCGGATGACGCTCGGTCACAATACTGTTCACAGTAACGCCACGTTCCTCCAAAAGAGCAAGGCTTCTCTTCAGACCCTCCATCTCCATTTGGCAACGCCCAGCGACTGCATTGCTCTGATACAGAAGAGAGAAAAAACAAAAAAAAGTGTAGTTCGCCATGTTAGCAAAACACAGTCATTTCAGTGCCATCTCTTCAATTACATTCATTCCATTTATTTCATGACAATTTGACCCATCTCAGCGTTTCCCCTTGCCCCTCGACTCACCTGAACCAGCTGAAGATCAACGACCATGTTGCTCCGCAGGTCCATCATTGTGTAGCTGCCATATGTAGCAGAATTACCTTTGCAAATAAAATAAATGTGTTCATTTTACAAGTGTAAAAACTCTGTTTTCCCATTATTATACAATGAAACATTCACTGAGAACTACACACCTGGCGAGTCAGCCCTCATGCCACCAGCTAGCATGACGTTGTGTCGTTGGCTAGTGAGCTGCTCCAGCGCGGCGTCCTGCGTCCTCCTCCACCTGTGCACGACGGCAGGCTCAGTGAACCTGCGCGCAAGGCTTCGAAACGTGCTGGACTTGTACAGCTGGAGTTTCATTGCCTGGAAGATCTGAGGCCAGACAGGATAAGAGATCTTCATTTAACACCATGATCTGTATAAAATATTAGTGGTCGGGGAAAAAAGCGATTCATATTTCATCTTCACATATTTCAAAAATCGCTTTTCTTAAAGGGTCATGAAACCCTAAACCAAATTTTCTGAGATTTGATCAGAGGTATGGGTGTTGAACACCATTGAAGACAATGTTAGCATCTGTCAGATTTAATAGTAGGGTTAAAATGGTTAAATTTTAGTTTCTTTCCGCTATTTTCGTCTTCCGGGTTTAAAATCTTCATCGCAGGCTGTGACGTGGCAGAGCACAGTGTAGTGCGTTGATGACTCATCGGTGTCTCATAATTATTAATGAGACTGAGTTTTCATATCCTATGAGGAGACACTGTCTCTTAATTATTCATGACACCACGTGGATCTTTCCAGTGACAGACATGTCAAACTGTGATATCGCATAGTAGATTTTTTACAGTCTATGAGTAGATGAGAGAGGCAATCATGGGACGCACGCAAGTGTTTGTTTTCGTGGTGCAAAAGTCCAATTGGGTTGAATGTGTTTCCCCGCGATGCTGCCCGGGCTAGACTCTGGCTCCGGGCGGTTGGTTTTCCATCAACCACGGACACATCTAAACGTGTGTGCCGCAAACATTTTTGAGCTTCGAGAATTGGAGAATGTCGGACTTCGCCTTGTTGACGACCAATGCAGGTTGCGTCTTGCGAGTGATGCGGTACCAAGTCCCGAGGACTTTTCTATCCCTTCAGAGGGGTGTGTGTGTGTGTGTCTAAAATGAGACGTCATCCACCTCCACAGAGCCATCTTTATTATAGGGGTTCAGGGGGCGCGTAGATCTAGGGTATGCACAGAACGTTTTTTTTAAGCGGAATATTTATAATTTTCAAATATATGTATAGTGTCTATAAACAACTATATATTTTATAATGACATTATAATTATACATGCAGCCTACATTAATATGTTCTCAATAGAATTACGATTACTGTAGGCTTACTAGGCTAATATAGCAGGGCATTCAGTTACTTTTGAAAGGACAATAATAAAGTGTCGTATTTCATAAGACTTTAACTTTGCCAGCTATAAAAAAAAATCTAGCATTTCCTCACGTTTTACCACTGCTTTTAGTGACAGTCGATATGCATGGGATACTGGCGATGACAGTGATGGCCTTACCACACCCCTTCTCATAGCCATCCACGCCCATTTAAGTTGCATTTTTCAAAAAGATTGTGAGCTAGACTTGAGCTGAAAGAGGGGGGTTTCATGACCCTTTAAGTATTGCACTTCTTTAACTTCGCAGTACTAAAGGTTACTTACAGTTATTGACGTTCATACCAATAAGCCGTGAACAAGGACTCGATACGCTGCTGACGGACACACAGCTGGTGTACGCGCACAGATAAACTCTGTTCTCCTTCACAGTTACACACACACACAATTATGTCAAAATGCACATCGTGTGGACTGTGGAGTATGTTATGTCCTACGGTTAATTTGTATATTTTTTTCTATTGTATTTGTCCTATTGCTTGAAATTTGCTTATTTTGTTCCAATTTTTAATATAAAAAATAAAATAAAATGTGCTTTTATTAAAGAAGACTGTGTTACGATTGTAGTCAGCCTAAAGGGCATTTGTTTTATAATATTGGGTTGACTAAAACGGGAAGAAAAACTAAATAAACTTCAAGGTTCACATTTAATTCAGTACAATCTTTTTCCTTCTAGAGCTATTAAACTGTCCACCGCAGTCATAAGAAAAATAACACAAGACTGTAAACTAATCAAATCTATGCACAAAATCAAATCGAAATTTGATTTAAAAATCGAGAATCATGACCTCAAGAACCTATTTGAAACGAATCCTGAGGAACCAAAAGATTCCCACCACTATAGGCTATGTGCACAAGCGTAATTTCGAACTTCCGCTATTGTCAGAAGTCGGCATGTCAGTTTCCGGTTTACGGCTGTTCATCATCATCCGCTATAAACGAACAAGATGAGTGCTGCTGTTGTACGAAAAAAAGAGTTGTTAAACACATCTAAGTTTCTAAGACCTGTAGGTGGATCTATCATCTAACGCCCGTTTCACACACACCCCGTTTGCAGTGCAGGAGCAACGCGCGCTATAGTGCTTTCACATATGATGCGTTTGCAGTGAATAACTGATCCGCGGCTGTACCACAAACACATACTTATTTTTTATTTTTTTTGGCGCGTCGCCCAAAATGTTTATTTTGTGCAGCCACTGCGCACGAAGGTTGGTGTTTTTCGGGAAGCGTTGGAAGCTCAAATGGCTGTTAGCGACTTGAAGCAGAGCAAAGTGGCACACAGCAGTGCTCCTAACGCACCATGTTAACAGGTTAGGGCTTTCACTTTTCACACCGTTTCAGATGCGGCACGTATAACAGCAGTGCAGCGATCGTTTCTGCACCGAATCTATTTCTGCTGTGCTGCATTAAAGTGACACCGCATGTTTCGTGGTCTAAATGCACAAAGATTGACCTGAAAATGTAGTAATTTCACCATAAATGCGTTTCATTAAATAAAAAGTAGTAATCTCACCATAAATGCATTTAATATACCGGTACTACTATTTTTCACAGTCATCTGAAGACTGTGAAGACCGGGGTAAATCAAGGAAAACTACAATTAAGGCGACATAATGAACAACACTCGTCTCATTCGTGGAGGTGGAAAAACAAGTTCTTTGTCACATGCAAGATCTATTGTAGGCTATTACAATTTAAATGCAAAAGAAAAGGCATGTGAGTCGGCTGTTTTTGCCAATTTTAAGTTTTAATTTAAATATTTGCCATTTTAATATAGTAAATTTTACCACTTGCTTGAGCAACTTAATATAAGTAATGCATGGAATAATAGCCCTAACTTGCGTTGTTTAAATTGTGTTTAAACGTGCATACATCCCTTAAAGAGTGTGTAAAAAGAGAATCGCAATGCTGACAACTTTTTTTGAAATAAAAGTTGCAGCACAACTTCTGGATTTTAAATAAAAATAGTAAGTATGTGTTTGTGGTACAGCCGCGGATCAGTTATTCACTGCAAACGCATCATATGTGAAAGCACTATAGCGCGCGTTGCTCCTGCACTGCAAACGGGGTGTGTGTGAAACGGGCGTTAGATGATAGATCCACCTACAGTTCTTAGAAACTTAGATGTGTTTAACAACTCTTTTTTTCGTACAACAGCAGCACTCATCTTGTTCGTTTATAGCGGATGCGGATGAACAGCCGTAAACCGGAAACTAACATGCCGACTTCTGACAATAGCGGAAGTTCGAAATTACGCTTGTGCACATAGCCTATAGATATAGCAACATTATTTGGTATGTAATCAGCCTGTGATCGCTGAGAGGCTGAGCAGCAGGAAAGACTCGTGACGCGTTTCCATGCATTTCAAATTCAAGAACGATTATTGACATGATGTAACAGACTATCCACGGGCAAAAACAATTGGTGATGAGAAACGTAGCCTACTGTACCAATGTATAAAACGTTTAAACGGTCAACAGAAGTGAGCCCCTCGCTACTCACCCCCTCTCTACACAATGATAAATCAGGACACACTGACACACCATGTGACCAAACCACCAGGAAATGTAAGCGTCAAATACAAAACAAAAGACAAACATTTTCTGCACGTACATTGAAATATTCGATACAGTTGAGTGTTTGTCATTACCCTCTCGAGTGTGGAGAAGGAGGCCCCCGAGGTGTAGACCGCGGCCGCGAGCTGAAGGTTCCCGGCGGGAACGGACCCGATGATGGGCTGGCTGTTCCAGGTCCTGGAGACACCACAGTGTGGGCAGTTCTGCTCGACCCTGAGGAACGTGCCCATGGTCCTGGTGCGCGGGCGCGAAGCTCGTCCACACCTCGGGCACAGCTCGAACAGCTCCAGGAGACAGCTCTCATACACGATGTACTTCGCTATCTTATGGGGCGGACTGGACGGTTCCGTTCTATCAGAACAGAAAATACTTCACACTCTGTTCGGGCTGACAAATAATTTTAGGATAAAAATCCTCTATGACAAATATCATGTAACTCACTTCACATCGGTGGATTGGGTCAAAGTGAGTGAGTGTAGGGGATCATAAGTGACATCATGTGGACCTTCATAGCGCTCCTCCTCGTCCTCCTCCTTCAGGTCCAGGCGGGGTCTCTTGCGTGACGGTCCCGAAGCTCTGACCGCCGAGGTGTCGGTACAGGACACAGCGCCACCTTGGATCAGTCAACACAGGCATTCAGTGTCATCTTAGGAATTGCAAATTAAAAGAAATGAGAAGCCACTTCAACTTACTACAGCTGAACCATAAAGAATGACAACAGTAATCGCATACATATAAACTAACTGCAGGAAAACATAATACACTGAATTTATAATACAAAAAAAAAAACCGTTTTTAAAAACTAAAAGATGCATCTATTTTGCCAACATTTGACTTAATTTTAACACTTACTATTTTCTCTCTCTCTATATATATATATAAGTTATACATCCTTGATACGTGTGCTGCGCTAGTCTAACGTTAACTGAAACTGGTCACGAGTCTCGACATTTGCATATTGTTGATTTAACTGCTTTTATTGCTCTCCTGATTTGTAAGTCGCGTTGGATAAGCGTTTTCCCGGATGCCAGCCGAACTTAGCCCACAACATATACAACAATATTCAAATATCTCTGGCGCATAAGGTCTCTATACGATGATGGACAGATGATGGACAGTAGCGTGATCAGCACATCACCGAAGAGCGCTCGGCTTGAGTTCTCCCGGTGTCTTTGCTCCGGTGCCTCGGATGAACGCGCTTCTTCAGCCTGGTCTCCTTCGTCGTCTGCCCATCTCTGAAACACGGCCATGTCGCGCTCCAGCCGCGTTATTAAGTTCTGACAGGACCGGCAAATGCGATAGGATTTGTTTGCTGTATCATCGAGTTCTAATCCTAAACGGAGAACTTTTTTGTATATGCTTTCACCTTTACTTTTTTTTCCAAAAATGGTAATCGTGCTGCTAAGTACTCCTCGTAGCCTCAAATTCTTTTTACAACACCGGCAAATATCGTTCACACTCATCATCTTCTTCTACTACTCCTCCTCCTCCCGCGTCCGTGCAGTTTGAGTTTTGTTGACAACTTGGCGTCGCTCAACATACGTCACTTTACTCCACTGCTCTGATTGGTTGTTGGTCTATCCAATTGAGTGCGGAGGCATTTTCATTCCTAATCTTATTTGATTTTATTGCATACAAAATCTGAATACAACAAAAATGCACAAAACAGTTATTATACTAAGAAAATACAGGCGAGGATGTCTCAACACAAGTAAAGAACAAATAAATAAATAATAGATAAGATAAAAAAACACCAAAAAAACAGGTTATACAATTTTATTGCACCTCAATTTTCCATTTTAGAGAGGGCATCTGACAAGTATTTTAACTCGTTTCTGAATATAATAAACAACGGAGGGGATTTAAAAAAAAACTATATTTAATGTATAAAGTATTTTGCCAATAATATAATATTATTAATCAAATCAAATAACCTACAACAATCTTTGGTTATCCCATACATCATATTTTGTAAGGTGAAGGTGAAACCGTCAGATACCACATCTGTCTCTATCACCCAGTCCTGTAATGTTCAACACAAATATATGTTCTGTATCTTCAGAGAGACATTTACAAAGATGACTAGGCGCATGTGCAAAATTAAATTTTAAATTCAGAAATTTATTGGCAGGATATATGGCATTTAGCATCTTAAAGTGCGTCTCTTCTGCTTTAGGGGGAAGAGGACGTTTTAAACAAGACGTTTTAAAATATTTTACGGTATCTTTTTCAAATGCATGATATAATTTATTTCTTAACATTTGATAGGGGTAGCAAGATTGGATGATAGCTTGGCTTATGTATTTGTTAGTGCAAACTAGTTTATTTTCAAATTCCACATCACCAACATATATAGCGACTGCCGTAATTTTTGAGTATGATAAGGAACACTACATTAACATTTTCATACCAGAGGGTATTACATTAATAACTGTAAACAACTGTTTTGATGACAGGCAAATCCGTGTTTTAGCATTGTAATCCAGGATATTCCCATTTTCCAAAATAATAAAACTGGTTGGTGGAACGCTGATAGTGTCACCGGGAGTTTGAGTAAATCAGTCACGTTTCAGTAGAAAGTGAATTTCACCCGCTTTACAAAACAAAGCTATCCGTGTCACATCAAAACACCTGAAGCCACTTCAGCTTTAACAGAATACTCGTACTCTCGAATTCAATCACACTTAAACCACCTCTTATGGTCACATGACTTGATAATGTCAGATTTTTTTTGTGCTTCCAAATAAAATCATACATTTTTGTATTACTTGTTTTTCTAATAGCTGATGAGGGAGCCAAAGCAGAGGCAGGATAAATCAATCGAGATAAGTGTTCAACTTTGGATAGAAAAATCCCAATTTAGAGCAATCAGCAACTCAAGATATTCGATTGGCTTTTTGTAACTTGTTTTCAAAATGTTCCTTCATACTCACCTTCAAGTTTCTAGTAATTGAAATACCTAAATATTTTACGGTTTCCTTCACCGGAATATTAAACAAAGTAGTAACTTGATTGGGGTGTACTCACATTTGTTCAAATTCAATATAAGGCCTGAACCCTTAGAGAAGGAGTTCATTAGAGAGATAGCACAGATTTGGTCTTTGTTTTTTAAAAATAATGTGTCATCTGCTAGCTGACTGAGTGCTAACGTTTTTACAAATACATTAAATTTCTTCACCGATAAATTATGACTAACCAAAGTGGACAACGTATCTGTCGCCAATATGAATAAAAGAGGGGATAGTGGGCAGCCCTGCCTTATCCCACGACTAATCGGAGATCTTCATAAGGAAGAGAAACTGAGCTATTATCTTTGTAAATCATTTTTATAACACTAACCAATCGTTCAGCAAAACCAAAATGCTGTAGGGAATTAAAGAGAAAAACATGTTTTATCACTATCATGTCAAAGGCCTTCTTAAAGTCCAACAATAAGTGACTGTACTCCACCAAATCCATAACTAATCTAATATTATTATGAATAGATTTTCCTTTACGAAAGCCTGATTGTGACTCATTGATTAAATCATTTATGCCCTCTTTTAATCTGTTAACATATTGAGCAATGCAACCGGACGCAAGTTATCCACATATCTCAGGTCTTTATCTGGTTTAGGGATTGAGGTAATCAAACCCCGACTCATAGATACACTTGTCTTCTGTAGATTCAGCAAAAGCATTGAATAACAATAGTTTAATATCATTCCTAAAAAAAGTGTGAAAGTTAGCAGTGAGGCCATCGGGGCCAGGAGATTCAGGACCGCTAAATCAAGTTCTTCAATACGCAAGTTAGCATCACAGCGATCTCTCCAATCATTGGCAATATGAGGAATGAAATTTGTTATTTTATCAAAGAAATTATTACACTCTATTGGGGAGAAGTTGGAAGAATACCGGCCACTGTAAAATTGATGAATAGCTTGCTGAGAAGATTTCCGCATTTTGAGGACACCAAATACACGCGGAGTGTTTAAATGATATTTTAGGTAGGTGTAAATGAGACTTGTGTGTAATTTTCAAATCAAATTTGGGAGATGAACTAGGCAGCTCGGTACAAACACACGTGTTGAGCCCGCCATCTTAGCCGGAACTCGTACCAGACTCGTAATCTGAGTATGACGACGTCAGGCTAGATGAGCGTCTGCTAAACGATTAGCTGTAGCTGTAAATCAAACCTGTGCTTCTGAAGGGAGGCGTGTGAGTCGTCATAGAGAGCTGTGTGCCACATGAGCGGGTGGTTGGCGGATCCGTCTGGCAGGCCACATCCGCAAACCGCACAGATGTGCTCGCCTAAAGCCCAACGGAAGAAACAATCAATACATGTCCAATCACACTGCACACCGAATTATCAGTATTTATAACAGTTTTTTTACCAATATAGTTCTTACATATTCAGTTCACATATCACAACTTCTGTTTGTGCAAGCATAAAGTAACAGAAACAGAGCTTGTGGAGGCTAACGCCAGGGAACGCACACGGAAAGTGGGTGGTAAGATCACATGGTCTGCAAGAGCAATTTTTTTGGCAATATTGTTTATTGGTAAACACAAATGAATCATATGTAACTATTTACATCTCTCAATTAAATTAATTCATGTTTTTTACCCCTCTATCATTTCAGTCTTGAAGGTAAACAAAAAAAATCATATTCTTTCTCGCACACACAATCGGTGTTACTCCACGAAACATAATTTTATGTATATATATATACAGTGCAGTTCTTCAGTCTCGCATCTGCTCTGTCTTACTGAATTTGTCTTGTCTACTTCCTGATCCTGAATACCTTTCTCATCCTTCTTATCCATCTTTCTGTCCTCATCCTCTATTTCTTTGAAGGTGGAATCATCCGAGAGCATCTCCGAGACTTGACTTGAGCAAAACGATCAATTACCATGCTAGTGTCTATGGTGCCGAGAATCTCTTTCAATTGACAGAACAGCCAAATGATTGAGTCTTTTCCGGCCCATTGTTCGCCTTAGCCATCTATGTAGACGCTGCAACGCACTACATGATCGCTCGCAACTGGAACCGCTGACAGGTATTGTCTGGCCATGTCAGAGATAGCACCCTCTTTCTTCTTTTTTTGCCAGGAACTGTTTCACTACCAGGATCTCCTCTTTACAAAGTCGAATGTTGAGAAAGTCATCAGCTGCTGGATTACAAGCCTGAATGCCCTTCAGGAGCTTTTCTCCAACACCAGAAAATCTGTTGCTCAGCTCGCTTATCATGCGGTCAAGACACGGGTACAAAAGAAGATGTTAAAGCTGGTTGCCATATCACATGGAGCCCTTGCACCCAAAGTAGAGTCCACTGTGTAATCATCCATCCGCCTCTGCTTACGCCACGCCAAAATGTATTTCTATAGCGCATTTATAAGCAATAGAGTTGCACCAAAGTGCTGTACAACAAAACATTGAGCATACATAAAGAAACCATGCAGCATACAAAATATAAACATTAAACAAAATACAATAAAAATAAAAACCTTTAATCAAATCGAATCAAAAGCCAGAGAGAACAAATACGATTTAAGACCTGATTTGAAACAGACTTGACATTTAAGGGCAGACTGTTCCAGAGTTTAGGGGATGCAGAAGAGAAAGCTTGACCACCCTTACCCCTTATTTACGCTGCACACGTCTGCGGCGTTACGGCTGCGACACGGCTGCCGGAGCTCTAGTCAATGCTCGTTTACTCCAGCCGCGCCGCTTCGCTAAAGATAGGCGCCGAGTCTATTTTCGACGAACGCCGCGTCCAAGCCGCACCGTATATACAAAATAAGTTAAAAAACACTGTCAATGTCAAAATAAACACCCTGTGCAGACTCCCACTTGTATTGCACACCAATATATCCTTGGTAGAAACCATAGACTGTAAGGTGGAAACCCAAAAATTAGAGTTGTTCCGATTCTGATACTAGTATCAGAAATGCCGCCAATACCAATAGAAATTCTGGCATAGGTATCGGCGAGTACTTCTATCCGCGTACCGATCCGATACCATTTTCTTAAACAATAACTAGTTACGCACGATAGCTTTGCTTAACGCTGCAAATCGGAGATCAATTCTTCTTCGCTGCTCTAAACAGTGGTTGCTTGCGGCGACACAGGAAGTTATGCTGTTTAGAGCAGCGAAGAAGAAAGCGCGCGCTAGCAGTGTGTCCGCTGTTTGGCAGTATTTAAGACGGGACCAACCAGCCAGTAAAACGGCGACATGTCTCATATGCCATACTGCAATTTCGAGGGGTGCCACAAGATTAGCAGCTTCAACACTTAATAAAGCATTTGAAGACGCGTCACCCCGCAGAACACGATGGCAAGGGTAGAGGAGGATGAGCCGCGCCAGAATCAACAATCTCTGGAAGCTTCATTCAAACGAAGAGAAAAGTTTCAAAAGACAGCCAACCAGCGATAAATATAACCCACAACATGTATCGAGTTTGTTCTGGATGACCAGCCGCGGTCAAAACTGAAATGCCGTGTATTTAACACAATTGTTTCTGGACTTTTAAGTTATAAAGAGGTTATTTTCTTATATTATTCATATATCATTTTTTAGATTCCTAGATTTATTTGTTGCCCTTTTTTATACAGTTATATTGTAAATCTAAAATACCTTTTTCAGTTTAAAGTATTAGATGTGCGTGGCTGCATTTTAAGTTCTTTTTCACTTAAGAAAAATAAATAATATATTGCTGTGAAATGTGCAGATAATAAAAATACTCTAGTTCACTGTATGTATTTGTTCACGTTTTATTAAGGGATAAGTCTGAGGCACACCATAAAATAATTATATCAAATCATACAGGGCTAGTATGAATTGCAGCTGTATAGATACACACCCAGGTATCGGAATCGGTATCGGGAAGGAAAAAGGGTATCGGAACATCTCTATCAAATCAAGAAAACCCACGTCGGACAGGCAAATCACGTGGTCTCGCACATCCAGTCGCTTCGCCTCTGAAATGCTCCTGGTGTGAGCTGGCACCGCGTGGACGACGGGATAAAGCCTCGTCGGGGCCGTAACGTGCCGCAGACGTGTGCTTTTTACAGTCTATGGTGCAGTGTAGTAGATAAGGGGTTAGTTGTACAGCGAACACGCGGGACAGTAAAGAGAAGCTGATTGATCAGAAGGTCACTAGTGTATTTTGGTGCAATGCCAGATAAAGCCTTGTACACAAAAACAGCCATTTTTAAATTAATTCTGAACTTTTCAGGAAGCCAATGTAAAGTCGCTAAAATGGGAGAAATGTGATCTCTCTGTCTTGAAAGAAGTCTCACTGCAGCATTTTGGACAATTTGCAGGCGAGAGATAGCAGTTTGAGGCAGGCCCCAGTTCAGGGAATCGCAGTAGTCCAGACGTGAGAGCGTGGATTATGCCCTTTACCAGCTTTGACTGAGTTGAGCTGGCATCCCCATCTAGTTTTACAGAGCTGGACAAATTCACTGTTCTCTAAACGCAGTTGTGCCTGTGTGTGTGTGTGTCACGAAATGCTTGATGATTGACCACTGAAACACTAAAGAAAGAATACACATTCCCCAATGTTTAAAAAAAGCCGTCTGCCTCTGGCACAGCCCTACAAGCGTGACAAAGTAGCAAATTCAGTTCATGGGCTGATGGGCACAATGTACATAAACCGCTTCGGGGGGGCTTCTCACGAAAACAAGCTTGAACTCCTCTAACTCCTCATTACTGAAGCCAGAGGTGGACAGTAACAAAGTAAAAATGAAAGTCGGGTTGACGCCAGAACCCGATGTCAGATTGACGTCAACATCCCACGTCGGACATACGTTGGATTTTGGTTGTAAAATAAAGTAGGTTTGACGCCAGAACCCGTCGGACAGACATTGGATTTTGGTTGTAAGGCCGTGTGTCCACCAAAGCGTTTTTACTCGCGCCTGGCGTACGTTTGCAATTGTTTTCAATGGGAGCGCCGCGTTTTTTAAACGCCATGAGCGCAACGAGGCGCTGAGCGTGTATTTAACGCTCAAGCGCTGAGCATTCGGCGTTTTTTACACGCTGAAGCGCCCCGGCGTTTTTACTGGTCGCCGAGAGTTGAAAAATTTTCAACTTTTGGATAAAACGCAGCGCTCATCACTGTCACTTTTCACCAACCGTCCAATCACAGTGGAGGAGGGGCGGGACTAATATCACACCGACCAACTGTCATTCAACATTCTTTGTGTACAAGGAAGGACATCAACCAGCAGAGCTGAACAAAATGGATGAAAAATTAATATTGCTGGTCTCCGTGTTTATACCAGATGACATCCCCGGATTACCACAATGTGAATTTAAAAAACAATGCTTGGAGGAACATTTCGATCGGTCTATCAGCAGTCAGACAGCTAATCGGTGGGGGCCGGGATCTACGTTAGCGTAACGTTAGCTTGCAAACCGTCAAAGCTAAAGCTTTGGTGGACACACGGCCTAAATGAATGTTGGGTTGACGTCAGAACTCGACTGATGTTGGTTTCTGACGTCAACCCGATTTTCAATTTTACGTCGGGTTTGTTCTTAAATGTGAATTTTGTCATTGTTTTGGAGCACACTAGCTTATAGATAACAGTAAGGCTAACATATTCATACTGAAAACCAAAAAAACTTTAAATAGGGCACTATCTGAGGGAACAGCCATGTGTGTGTCCGAAACCATTGTGGACGTTATTGAGTGCACTTCTTCAATCCCACTACTGGAGCTGTGTTCTATGTGATATTGATATGAGGCAGGCAGGCATAGATTCAGAGGCATAATACTGTATATATGCAACAATAATACAACAATGCATTGACATTTACTTTTACTTTTAAAAGTACTCAAGTGAAAATCGGTCTTTACAACTTTTACTTGTTACGGAGTAATATTTGTACTTTCACTCAAGGAAGGAAGTTGTGTAGGGGAGAGCCGGGACGGTTGAAACACTTTTCAGATAAACGTCATTTTCTAAGATAAGATTACAGAGAGATTTTTTTTGTTTTTGTAATCAACAACTCACATATATGTGTTCTCTTAGTATCATGTGTTATTCGGTACAAATATAGAATGATTTAAGTAAAAATTGACATTGAACGGGAGTTGTGCTTTGTTTCAATCGTCCCGTTGCAACACAGGGGTGGGACGGATGAAACATTACAGTTTAAACGGCAACGGTTCATCTAATGTTTGTTTTTATGAACAATACCTAACAAGTTAATTATGTACATAATTGTTACAAACATGTTTTGTAATTTATTTTTTATTTAAAGGTTCATATTAACCATTTTATTCTGTCGCCCAATAAACAATAGGCGATAAGCCGTGCGCATTTTGCGTGCTCTTTCTAATATGCTATTTTGACGAATCCATTTATAATTCATATTCTTACATTTCTTCCTTAAATCATATTGAGTGTTTGCTAGTTGAATAGCCTGTTATTATGAAGAAAACAAGGTCAACCGGTATATGATAAATGAAATTTATTGAAAATGGGACAATTAATGATTATTAAAGAGATAACATGGACCAGTAGCCTATATGAATTTATTAACAGTAGGCTATAGGCTGAATAAACAAATATGAAGAGTAGCCTATAGGTTAAAAAACGAATAATATATATATATATATATAGGTTTTCCTATGTAAGAGGCGCTGTCGGGACGGTTGAAACCCGACAGCGCCTCCTGCCAGTTAAACCCGTTTTACACTTAAACTAAAAAACTCTGATATTACACACTTAAGGATGTGTTGCAGTACTAATACACCTTCCATATCAGTGTTTCCCCTAGGATTTTTTTTCGGGGGGGGATTGGGGGAACTTCTAGTGTTGCGGAGAGGGCGTGTTACGAATACGTGGTGTAAATTTTTTAGCAATCAAAAAGCATGTCTAATTAATTGAAATAGTGTATTATGAATCATTAAACGTATACAACATTTAAAAAAAAATATGAAAAAAAAATGTCACTAATTCTGTGTTGTGTTTTTTCTGGTAATAGAATGAAGACATAAAACACAAATTTTATCATTTATCATCAATTTTAATCAAATGAAATTAAATAAACTTTTTGTCAAATAACGTGCTGCTCAATGAGCTTTACTGTTAAAATTAAAACATGGATTATTCCTTAAATTCAGTTTTGATGATAATTTATTTGGATTAGTGTTAGTATTATTACATTGGGACATATCTAAATCCTACTGTACAACGGTAATATATTTCTGTCAAGTTAAACCGAACTTTTATTTTGACGGGTTGCCGTGAAGACCTTTTGAGTTTGTGTGTTTATGTCATGATGATAGTTTTTCTCAAATGAAGCGGTTAAATGATCACGAAGTGACTTTCGGAGTGGATCTAGAGCCTGGAGAGGAAGTTTGTGCATTTGTGTCTTCATATAGGCAAAAAAACAGCACAAGCGTCACACGTGCTTCAGTGTGTGTTTGTGTGTGTGTGTGTGTGTGTGGTAAATGAAACTGCGCGTCGGCTGCACCATTCATTCACACAGAACAAGCAGGATTCGTATTTAAATTGTCTTTGTGGTTTAATATCCACACACACTTGTCTACATCGCGACTGCTTTCTATTGGCGGGCCGCCCCCCCAAAACAATGGTAGGGGAAACACTGCATATTATTATTACAATGGCACATGAAAACATAAATACAACTTGTCAGTCAAAAAAAAGTGCTGCACAAAGGAATTCACTAACCGCACTCAAAAGCAGCTTTCCGGCTCTAACTTTAAAACGGCATGAGGTAAAGAAGAAATGTTTTCGCGGGTCTGATAGGCATTGCGTGCTGTACGTGCTGACGAAATTTGACGTAAATGACGTGAGTTGTTTTCGAGGAAATCGTTCTGTTTCATCCGTCCCGCGTTTCAATCTTCCCGGCTCTCCCCTACTACTACTTAGTCCACCTCTGACTGAAGCGCCATCATATATGAGCTTTGAGCCACACAGAGATCATTCAAATCTTTTGATGTAAGCACATGTTCGGGCTTTGCTTTATGCATTTCCCCAGTATTGAAATCAGGCAAATATAAAATGTCAGGAAACCCTGATATGGTGTTATAAATGTACATACATTTTAAAATAAATAAATAAATATTAAAAAACTTTGCAGGATTTCGACGATGGCCGTTAAAACGTGTCATCAGTCTGTGAAATGGGTCTGCATCATTTAATAGGAATAAGTTAATTTTACTCCAGTAGTTTCAGAACAGCTAAACGCCTTTCTTCGTGTTCTGCCAAACATAAAGAAGACTTGTAAGAAGACTTATTTATTTGCCATTGTCTGTGCTGTACTGACTGCGTTATTATTATTATGTTTTTTAATTGCTGTGAGATTGATTGACATTGCGCGCAACTGTATATATTCTAGAATAGGCCAATAACATCCGTCTGTAGAGCCACAGTTTTGCCCGCGCATGCGCTGTCATTTCATCTTTAAATCTTAGCGACTGTACTGTCCTAAAACGATCTAATAGTTATTGCTGCTCCTGCTGTTGCTCGCAGGCCTACAGGCTCCTTCACTGAAATAAAACAAGGCTTGTGTCATGAACACTTTAAACTTTAACGTTTCTCCTCCAAAAACGAACAGCTCGGTATTATAAACACTTTATTTTCCAACGGCTGGTATAACAAACAAACTTTCGAATAGACATTCAAAGTGTAATTTTTAGTCTAAAAAGTCAAGAAAACTAATTCCTTAATTCTGCCGTGGGTTAATGCGTAAACTTGAACACAAATAAAACTTCATTTTAAACAGGCTGAGTGTGAGAGCATTTTATTAATAGACAAAACCAATTTAATTTACATTTACCTTTCAGTGCGGACATACCATTACCATCATTCACTTTAAAGGAGACCTATTATGCCCCTTTTCACAAGATGTAAAACAATTATTTGATTTCCCCAGAGTGTGTATTTGAAGTCTTAGCTCAAAATACCCCACAGATAATTTTTATAGCATTTTAAAATTGCCAAATTTGGGCTTGTGCAAAATCGCACTGTTTTAGCATGTTTCCCTTTAAGAGCTAATCTTGAGCTGCGGCTCCTGTCCCACTTTCAGACTTATTTGTGTCTGTCTGGCAAGCAATATCTCTCGTTTGGCTGCTCTGTTCCGGTGTGCTGTCCTTTACAAATACAGATTCCACTATCAGCGCGATTAAAAAGCTGGACTCATGGTGCAATCACAAACTTTATAAGTCTAACATGTTATAATGAGCTTGACAAATTCAAAGGCAATTTGGAAAAAAAACGCGTAACTTGAAAACAAACAAGATTGTCATGCAGTTGCTTTAGAATTCATTTAAAAAGAATATGCTGTGAAGTATGTTGGTTCTTCAGAAACTTACAAATAGTTCTTGGACAGAGGCAAGAGTTTTGAGCGGTGTTGAGGTCAGCAGGGATGGTTCTTCACCTTCAGACGAGATTGGAGTCTGAAATGGCAAGTTCAATAACGTTACATAACATTTCGTAGAACTGAACTTATTCTGAAGTGAAAACAATGCGGGTTTTTTCGTTGACCAAATAAAAAAGCAATACCTCTAACATATGCACGTTTGAGGTTACTCACGGACATAGATCACAGATTTTACCAAAAGTGGGTGTCAATTTTATTTGTAAGCTTACAGTAATTAACATTATTTTGTTCTAGTCTGCACTACATCAGGGGTTCATCTCGCAAATGCATCTGTCTCTGCAGTCATCTCAACAATCCAATACAGCAACAGGTTTGTGGGGTAATAACGTTAGCATAAATCGACAAATATGCTAACTCAGTTTTACAGAACAGTGGCTTTACTTTGAGAACAGTCAACTTATATACAACTTATGTGTAATTGTCTATCTAACGTTACTTTTCTAAATTTGTTGTTTTACTGCTAACTAACTACTATAATAACACTTTATTACATGGCTTGGTTGAATTCTAATGTAGAATGCGCGGTCTGTTATTTCTTGATAACACCGTTGCCATGAAAAACAGAGCGTTGCCATGGACGCAGTTCAGAGACTGAACGGACTATTTTCTTTAGCGGAAGCAATACAATCGTTTTTAAATCAATATTTTGTGTAAAATTATCTCTTACATAGGCTACTGTGTGATCAGAAATAGAGTCGATTATTAGTGAGGCTTACCTCTCGGCGAATGCGTTTAGTCCCAGGCTGTTCGTCATCTGGGAAGGTGAATATAGATGGAATTGCGGTGTCCTTCAGAGCGGTTCTCCTCATTCGAAGGACATTCGGTTCATAGTCTTCCTGCTACGAGGCTGAATCCAGCTTCTTATTCGCAGCTTCTTATTGACGCTATCCGTTCCACCTTAAATGACGCGAACTTCCGCGTTTGCTGGCTTCTTATTGACGCTCAACTTAGGGACCGTGCGGTTTTCTCTTTTTCGCGTTTTTAAAGGGATTGTGTTACTTTTGGGTCTATATTCCGAATAAAATGATAATAAAAAATGTTTAAAAGCAAATAACACTGATGTATCAGCGAAAATGGACTGTACAAATATTAAAGCACATAAATATAATTAGGCTACATTATTCTTTAATTATTGTATGTCATCAGCTCAATTTAGGGACCGTGTGGTTTTTCACTTATTCACACTTATTAGAGACCCTGTTTGTATTGTTTATATTTTTCCAGAAAAGAATAATAAAGTATTTTGAAAGGTAAATAAATAATAATAACACATAAATGTCTGTTAAAATATAATTAGGCCTACATTATTCTTTAATTATTGCAAATAACATCATTTGAATGTATTCAATACATGTTTTTTTTAAATTATTATTATTATTATTACAAATTAGAATTTCACAAGGTACTGAGATTATGCTCCAGCTTGGATCCAGCCTCTTATGAAGACTTCAGATGACCCAGCACATTTGAATAGATGAAACCTACCCTTGCAAGGACTCCAGAACATCAAACATGAATGATTATACAAAATGATCTATTTATAATTGCTTTAACACATTAATTTTGCTTAGATGCATATATGATATTTGTAAATACTATAATTTGTGGTATCTTATAACTGTACTTTCTGATATCATCTCATTAAATCCTATTGTGGTTTTGTAACATAGAAACCTGCATTTTCTGTAAAGCTGCCTTGAAATTATATGTATTGTGAAAAGGGTTATACAAATGACTGTATGAATTAAATTCAATTGCATTGACTTGAAAGTGCCATTGCATGGTTACTGTACATTAGAAAGATATGGACCCAATCTGACAAAATACAGAAGAGTTATCACATTGTTGGCCTATTTGGTTTTACTGATGTTTTACCCTGTATCTGCTTGAATATAATCATGCACAATTTCACGTTTTACTGTATAAAAAGCCATTGCATTGTTGGCTCAATTGGGGGCTCTATATCTTAGCTGTATTTGATGGAATTTTTTAATTTTGCACTTTAGACAGTGCACAATAAGCCGCCTAATGCATTTTCTGCCCATTCTGCGGCGCTGTTTCTCGGCCGCCTCAGAGGGTGCGTTAAATTTGACAAAGTCCCATTAGACTAGAGCTCCTACTCTAACGAAATCCAAATTTTGAGCAGTTTTTACTGTAGATTTTTTTTTTAATGAATTTTTTGAAGTTTGCTTTTTACAGTGCACAATAAGCCGCCTAATACATTTTCTGCCCATTTCGTGGCGCTGTTTCTCGGCCGCCTCAGAGGGTGCGTTAAATTTGACAAAGTCCCATTAGACTAGAGCTCCTACTCTAATGAAATCCAAATTTTGAGCAGTTTTTACTGTAGAATTTTATTTTAATGAATTTTTGAATTTTGCTTTTTACAGTGCACAATAAGCTGCCTAATGCATTTTCTGCCCATTCTGCGGCGCTGTTTCTCGGCCGCCTCAGAGGGTGCGTTAAATTTGACATTGTCCCATTAGACTAGAGCTCCTACTCTGACGAAATCCACATTTTGAGCAGTTTTTACTGTAGAATTTTTTTTTAATGAATTTTTGAAGTTTGCTTTTTACAGTGCACAATAAGCCGCCTAATACATTTTCTGCCCATTTCGTGGCGCTGTTTCTCGGCCGCCTCAGAGGGTGCGTTAAATTTGACATTGTCCCATTAGACTAGAGCTCCTACTCTGACGAAATCCACATTTTGAGCAGTTTTTACTGTAGAATTTTTTTTTAATGAATTTTTTAATTTTGCACTTTAGACAGTGCACAAAAAGCTGCCTAATGCATTTTCTGCCCATTTCGTGGCGCTGTTTCTCGGCTGCCTCAGAGGGTGCGTTAAATTTGACAAAGTCCCATTAGACTAGAGCTCCTACTCTGACGAAATCCACATTTTGAGGAGTTTTTACTGTAGAATTTTTGTTTAATTAATTTTTAAATTTAGCACTTTAGACAGTGCACAATAAGCTACCTAATGCATTTTCTGCCCATTTCGTGGCGCTGTTTCTCGGCCGCCTCAGAGGGTGCGTTAAATTTGACAAAGTCCCATTAGACTAGAGCTCCTACTCTAACGAAATCCAAATTTTGAGCAGTTTTTACTGTAGAATTTTATTTTAATGAATTTTTGAATTTTGCTTTTTACAGTGCACAATAAGCTGCCTAATGCATTTTCTGCCCATTCTGCGGCGCTGTTTCTCGGCTGCCTCAGAGGGTGCGTTAAATTTGACATTGTCCCATTAGACTAGAGCTCGAACTCTGACGAAATCCACATTTTTAGCAGTTTTTACTGTAGATTTTTTTTTTAATGAATTTTTGAATTTTGTACTTTAGACAGTGCACAATAAGCCGCCTAATGCATTTCTGCCCATTTCGTGGCGCTGTTTCTCGGCCGCCTCAGAGGGTGCGTTAAATTTGACATTGTCCCATTAGACTAGAGCTCCTACTCTGACGAAATCCACATTTTGAGCAGTTTTTACTGTAGAATTTTTTTTTAATGAATTTTTGAATTTTGCACTTTAGACAGTGCACAATAAGCTGCCTAATGCATTTTCTGCCCATTTCGTGGCGCTGTTTCTCGGCCGCCTCAGAGGGTGCGTTAAATTTGACAAAGTCCCATTAGACTAGAGCTCCTACTCTGACGAAATCCACAGTTTGAGCAGTTTTTACTGTAGAATGTTTTTTTAATGAATTTTTGAATTTTGCACTTTAGACAGTGCACAATAAGCTGCCTAATGCATTTTCTGCCCATTTCGTGGCGCTGTTTCTCGGCCGCCTCAGAGGGTGCGTTAAATTTGACAAAGTCCCATTAGACTAGAGCTCCTACTCTAACGAAATCCAAATTTTGAGCAGTTTTTACTGTAGATTTTTTTTTTAATGAATTTTTTGAAGTTTGCTTTTTACAGTGCACAATAAGCCGCCTAATACATTTTCTGCCCATTTCGTGGCGCTGTTTCTCGGCCGCCTCAGAGGGTGCGTTAAATTTGACAAAGTCCCATTAGACTAGAGCTCCTACTCTAATGAAATCCAAATTTTGAGCAGTTTTTACTGTAGAATTTTATTTTAATGAATTTTTGAATTTTGCTTTTTACAGTGCACAATAAGCTGCCTAATGCATTTTCTGCCCATTCTGCGGCGCTGTTTCTCGGCTGCCTCAGAGGGTGCGTTAAATTTGACATTGTCCCATTATAGTAGAGCTACTCCTCTAACGAAATCCACATTTTAAACAGGTTTTACTGTAGATTTTTTTTACTGTGGAATTATTGTTTTATGAAGCTTTGGACTTGATTTTTCACAATGCACAGAGCGTATTGCGCCTTAGGCCCAATTGGTGGCGCTGTTTCTCGGCCGCCTCAGAGGGTGCGTTAAAGTGGACATTGTCCCGTTATAGGACAGCTGTTCTTAATGAAATCCAAATCTTGAGCAGTTTTACTGTGGAATTATTGTTTTATGAAGCTTTGGACTTGACTTTTCACAATGCACAGAGCGTATTGCGCCTTAGGCCCAATTGGTGGCGCTGTTTCTCGGCCGCCTCAGAGGGTGCGTTAAAGTGGACATTGTCCCGTTATAGGACAGCTGTTCTTAATGAAATCCAAATCTTGAGCAGTTTTACTGTGGAATTATTGTTTTGTGAAGCTTTGAACTTTACATAACCCAATGCACAAAGAGGCGTATTGCGCCTTAGGCCCATTTGGCTGCGCTGTTTCTCGGCCGCCTCAGAGGGTGCGTTAAAGTGGACATTGTCCCGTTATAGGACAGCTGTTCCTATTGAAATCCAAATCTGGAGCAGTTTTTACTGTGGAATTATTGTTTTGTGAAGCTTTGAACTCATAACACACTGCAGAAAGGCGTATTTGTGCATTGTGTAATGTGTCATGTTAATTGATTGATTGGTTAATGAGTGTGCTCCCAATTATTGTGGAATCCTCTCAGGTGTGTTTGTCATGTGTCCATGCCATGTGATGTTCTATTTAAGCTGCACCTGTAGCAATAATTGATTGTGTATTCTCACTGCAACCTGTGTAAAGCATGATTATTCTCTTTAACAGGTATCTAGTCAAGCTATGTTTAACATGTCAAGGTAAAAAATTCATACAAAAAAAAATTCTACAGTAAAAACTGCTCAAAATTTGGATTTCGTTAGAGTAGCTCTACTCTATTGGGACTTTGTCAAATTTAACGCACCCTCTGAGGCGGCCGAGAAACAGCGCCACGAAATGGGCAGAAAATGCATTAGGCAGCTTATTGTGCACTGTCTTAAGTGCAAAATTCAAAAATTCATTAAAAAGAAATTCTACAGTAAAAACTACTCAAAATGTGGATTTCGTCAGAGTAGGAGCTCTAGTCTAATGGGACAATGTCAAATTTAACGCACCCTCTGAGGCAGCCGAGAAACAGCGCCGCAGATTGGGCAGAAAATGCATTAGGCGGCTTATTGTGCACTGTAAAAAGCAAACTTCAAAAATTCATTAAAATAAAATTCTACAGTAAAAACTGCTCAAAATGTGGATTTCGTTAGAGTAGGAGCTCTAGTCTAATGGGACTTTGTCAAATTTAACGCACCCTCTGAGGCGGCCGAGAAACAGCGCCACGAAATGGGCAGAAAATGCATTAGGCAGCTTATTGTGCACTGTCTAAAGTGCAAAATTCAAAAATTCATTAAAAAAACATTCTACAGTAAAAACTGCTCAAAATGTGGATTTCGTCAGAGTAGGAGCTCTAGTCTAATGGGACTTTGTCAAATTTAACGCACCCTCTGAGGCGGCCGAGAAACAGCGCCACGAAATGGGCAGAAATGCATTAGGCGGCTTATTGTGCACTGTCTAAAGTACAAAATTCA